CTCCTTTCTTCCAGCCTAAATGTGTGACCTCGTGTCCTATGTATAGCCCTGTTTATGAATAGATTTCCATATAAAGGTTTGTACTGGCCCCGAATATATTTGTATAAAGTTATCATATCCCCTCTCAGGCGCGGTTTTTCCAAACTAAACAGATTTAATTTTTTTAACCTTTCTTCATAACTAAAATGCTCCATTCCTTTTATCAATTTTGTAGCTCGTCTCTGGACCCTCTCCAGTGCCATGATATTCTTCTTTAGAACAGACGCCCAAAATTGCACAGCATATTCAAGATGTGGTCTTACCAGCGATTTATAAAGAGGCAGAATTATATTTTCATCCCGAGAATTTATGCTCCTATTTATACATGACAAAATCTTACCCTCCTTAGCAACTCCAGATTGACATTGCATATTGCTGCCTAATTTGTTGTCTATAACATTTCCCAAATCCTTCTCGTGTGTGGTTATCCCTAATTCACTACCATTTAGTGTGTAAGTTGCTTGTGCATTCTTAACCCTGAAGTGCATAACTTTGCATTTCTCTTTGCGTTTCTCTATATTTAATAAATCACAATTATTTTTTTTACAAAAATATAATTAATTGTGACAATATAATATTAAAATAATAATAATATGTAACATGCGTGATAATAATCAGTGAATATTTAGTATAACATAGGTATACAACAAAATGGCAATGGTTTTAAACAAATTCAATGGCTACAGCATCAACTGTCAAGACTTACAAATTTACAATATGTAAATGTTACGGTTGCCTCCAGGCTGGCTGGAAGTTGGACCGTAGAAAAGGATGCTCCTAGCGCTCACCAAAGGACCATCAGCACCGTAGACACCATAACTACTGCGTAGCCACCATAAGTACTGCAGACTCCACGAACCACCGCTGCTGGGCTGGTATCTCGCCGTCTGCTCTGTGCCCTGGACCCACGACCAGGCTCCAGGTTCCAGTAGGTGAACCTCTTCCTTCTGCAGAGCGAAGCAGGATCAGGAACAAGAGCTCTTACAAGAGCTCAGTAGCTAAGGGAGTATGAAGAGCATAGCAATCCCTGTAGTGATTATAGCTGTCCCCTACAAACATGAGTCAAGGCTGCAAGTTAGAGGGTCAAGAAGATCTGAGGTGCTGGCACACCCAGCCTGGTTTTTATTACAGTCTTGCAAATACAGGACCGCCCACAGGGAGGTATAAAACAACCAATAATAAATGTACATTACAGAAACACTCCCAGCAATTACACACAAAACTCCTCCCCTCTGCCTGTGATCTAATTATGTTGCACAATGGGTTAACATAATTAAACACAGGCAGTAAAAATACAGTTTTTATCCATGTACTATAACTTCCAAACTACACATCCAATCTTCATAAAAATACATATTTAGAATCAATCCATTCAGGGGAGCAACATATTAAAACTGGCACAAATCAGACAAGGGGTTCAAAAGTTAGCAAAAGTATCTTTTGGGGCCTAGCTGGCAGCATGGTTTTCTGGCCCAAACCGGATTTACAGAGCCCTCTATCCTGGACAATGGGGAAAGTAATCCAATTATCCAGGGATAGAGGCAGACTCCATTAACCACATGTCAGCAAAAGACACAAAAAGACACAAAAATACATAACTCCTATTGAACTGAACAGAACCCCCACATTCAACCTATCCCCAGATGGCTTGGATCTGAGCGCTCAATATATCCAAACAGCGCTCAGATCCCACAAATACAGTCAAATCGCCATACACACTAGGTCCATAGTCATGGGGCAGAAGGCTGGCAATTAGGCTTCTCCATAACACAGGGAAGCAGAGCAATTTGTCAAATAACATAACAGTTACAAATGGCAGTTTGTAACAGTAAACAATCCCACAGGACACAGAAAGCTAAACTTCACAGGACACAGAATTTCTCACAGTGCACAGCGCAGTGAAAAGCCATAAAATTTTGGCTCACAGTTAGATCACTTGATTAACACTTTCAACGCTGGCTAAATCCTCCTAGGCCTATAAAAACCTATTCTATTGCTATTTTTAATTAAAATAACATTCATATCATTAACCATTCCATGGAACCATCCAATAAGAAAGAATCTACCAGATTTTTACAAAAGCCGAATTTAACTCTACATAAGATACACTATCTTTTTTCAGAGCAAATCAATACACCTGGATAAAAACAGTGGTATGCAAACACGTGATAATATCACATTAATATATAATTATCTTGATTCCACCTGCAGAATGGAATGTTTATAACTATATATTCTTTAGTTAACTAAGATTTCTAAATATTGAAATCTGACCGTGATTTATCCAGTCATATATCATGCTATTAGTACATTTTTTATTAATTTAAATCAATTAAATAAAACCAGCATAATTAACAGTTATTATCAGATGATTGGATAGTCCCAGGAACTTGAATGGAAGTATGGTAAATGTTTGTAAGGAGGTGTGCATGTGATAGAAAAAGAGATATTGGTTAGAAAATAATAGTAAAATTCTAAGTGTCTAGGAAGTGTTTTTTGAGTTGTATCCGAGAGAGTTTAAGAGTTGAGTGTTAGTCCCAGAGTGTCCAGGATCTCTCCTCCATCTCCTTGAATGTCCTGATCTGAATCTAAATGTGAATGTCCTCTATTCCCTTTGTTCCTACTTTTTAAAGGGCCAAACTCTCTGTACGTCATCATCTGACATGACGAAAAGGAAACTGTAGGTGTGTCTATCCTATCTAGTAATATCTAGTTTTTGGTCAGTAGATGGCGTTCTTACACCACCAAAATTTTGTGTCCCGGGAAGAGTTAACTTATTTTGATGGCGATTCTGACGTAATTTCCTTATCTATTTTATGATGGCATAACTCAATTTTGCTGTCAGTTCAAAGCGTTTATTTGGTCCAGACAGAGCGTCGACAATTCCTGTTGTATATCTACTTTCTGACACGCCTAAACTTAAATTCACCCTATTTCTTAAAATGGGACCTTGTAAGATTTAGAAAGTAAAAAGAATTACTAAGTCTTATCTATCACTGTTATCTGGCTTTCTTATGTCTGGTTGTGAAGCTGTATGTGTAGGATTATTTTTCTAGTCCACTAACCTTTATTAAATTATACAATATTTTTTCATGAATATTTATCCATGAATGGTCTATATTATTAACATAATACAAATTATATGTAATTAATATAATAGTAAAATAAGTGTATAATGATTAGATATATACAAGTATATATAATGTATATACTTGTCTCTGGACTTAGTAACCATCCCCCATCCTTGCTGGTAGACTTTATTGCTTTGTTTACATAAAGCATTCCTAAGCTCAGCCTGATGGCTAGAGTTACTGAAAGCAAGAAGAAATTATGTTAGCCTGAAGATCCAAAATGGAGTCAGCTTGGTTTTAAGTGTGACTGGCAGTAGACACTTTTAATTTCTATCTTAGCACAAAATATCTGTCGATATAAATATTCTGACCAAACGTCCATCAAGTTAATAATGGGCGTGAACTCATAAGTCTTACTCTGTCTGTAAAGCTCAGACGGTAATGTTCAAACACATTCTCTCCATTAGGGAGAAAATGAGAACAGGAGAATAAAAAACGGACATATTAGAATAAAATAGACATTGTCATATCATAAAGAATGTATATTTCATCCACTAACAAATTAATTAAAAACAGTATATGAATCATATTCAATATATAAATACAGAGACAAAAATAATAATAAAACAGAGGTATTAACAACCATATCATTAATATACTTAGTGTGCAATTATTTAAAGGTGAATATACCCATAAAAAATAAAATGCATTAATAGAAAATTAAAAATGTATAGGATGCATTTTAAAGGTGCATATACCCATAAAATGAATACCATAAAAAATATAAGGTATATAAAAAGAATTGTATAAAAAAACAGAGAAGTATGGGGGAGAAAACTAATTACCTAACTCAAAGAATTGGACTGATGTCAAAGTTTATATTTAAAGTTTGCAATTCAAAAATCCAATTGCTCTCTCTCTTGCTGAGATTGACAGTATCATTACCACCTCTCCAATTGCTCACTACTTTGTGTATGGCCATAAACTGCATTTCTTTAGGATTAGAACTTTGAGCTTCCAAAAAAATGTTTGGGCAGGCTATGGTTGATAAAACCTTTTTTTTATGTTTCTTACATGTTCCCTTATGTGGGTTTTAAGAGACCTTGATGTTTTTCCTACATATTGGTACCTGCATGTACATTCTAGTAAGTAAATAATGTTTTTTGATTCGCATGATATAAACGATAATACATTCAAATTCTTTTTAGTAATAGAGGATGTAAAATGCTCTTTCTTTTTGGTCGTATTAGTGGTACTTCTACAGGCATTACAGTTGCCACACTGAAAAAATCCTTTTTGTTTTTTCGACCAGTCCTCTAAAAAATTGTGTTCTTTCTTTTTATCTACATAACATGTAAGGATCTTTTTAAGATTCCTCGCCCCTCTGAAGACAAACTTTAGTTTCTTGCCTAAAAACTCGTGAATATCATGCTCTTGCTGCAGAAAATGACAATTTTTGGTAATAATTTTCTTTAAGGCACCAATGTTGCTTGAGTAGTTTAGGATAAATGGGATTTGTTTAGATGGTATAGTATGCTTTTGCCTATAATTTAGCAATTGGGGTCTATTTAACTCCCTCACACTCATAATGCTGGTTTGAAGTGTTTCTTCTTTATAACCTTTCTGTAAAAATTGTGTTTTAAAAAAAGAAGATTGGTTATTAAAATCAGTCTCATCTGTACAATTCCATTTTAAACTTAATAATTGACCCTTAGGGATGTTACGTAACCATGGGTCATGGTGGAAGCTGGTAGTTTCTATAAAACTATTAAAAAAGTGTATGTTTTTAAACTGTTATCTGAGTCAAAAATAGTAAGGTCTAAAAAATCCACGTTGTTGGGGCTAATAGTGGTGGTTAATTTTATGACCCAGTGGTTATGGTTAAAAAACTTTTGTTTTTGCCCCCATTTTTCATGAGCTGAACTCAAAGATCTAAGACCTTTTCTATGTACACAAAAGGCACACCTATGCAATAATCATGCTGTCTAAACAGCATCTTGATATGCCACACCTGTGAGGAGGATGGATTATCTCGGCAAAGAAAAAGTGCTCACTAACACAGATTTAGACAGATTTGTGAACAATATTTGAGAGAAATAGGCCTTTTGTGTACATAGAAAAAAGTCTTAGATCTTTGAGTTCAGCTCATGAAAAATGGGGGAAAAAACAAAAGTGTTGTGTTTATAATTTTGTTCAGTGTATATTTTATTATGTTAGATATATATATATATATATTTATATATATATATATATATAGTACTGTAGATTGGATTAGCCATATTTTTTTATCATTTGCCTCTTTAGGAGGCTGTATTCAGTATCTGCGCAGGGCATGAGTTGAGATTTATAGGACGCCTAGTGGTGACAAACGAATTGTTTTATGCTTATATGTAAGTTATTAAATTTCTTTTTATTATACTCTGGAAGCGCACTACATTTTTTTCTGTATATTTTTCTCTTGAGTTACATATTCCAACCTACTGATGGGAGTGTGAAGATGAGAAAATACAGTGGATATTGGAGGAGAGATTTTAGTTAAGGCTGTTTTACATCTGGGAATTTGTCAGTGGCCAATTGTAACTAACCTATTGTTACTTACTTATTTATTCTGTATTTAGCAGATTACCCCTATTCTGTTTGTATACACGAGTTGAGAGAAGGGGGGAGTGTAGAAGAGAGGGGGAAATGTAAAGGTTTTGGGAGGATGATGAAAGTGGGTGTAAGGAGAGATTTTGATACCGAGGGAGAAGGAGGAAAGGAAGAGGAGTAGAAAGACTTGTGTATGTGAGATTGACAGACGTTCTTGAGTCCAATTCTCTACTCGGTCTACTTCAGTTTGGTTTCCGCGCACATCACTTATATATATTGTGAACGGAAATGTGGAATGGTTGTTGAAGGAAGATATATCAGGCCTGCTTTGCTAAACAGCAGCCAGAGAATTTTCAGTTAAATGTCCCAGGGAGAGATGTTAAGTTTGCAATATACATTGCTGATACTATGCAAAACACAGTATGGGTCCCTGGAGCTGAGCATTTGGAGAGCAGGGTGGGCCAGTGCTCCAACAGTACTAGTTGCTCTGTAACAGACGAGAACTTGGATTTCACTTAAGAGTTGTTAACCAATTAACACTCACCTGTAGCTGGTCAATTAGAAGGCAGGCCTTTAAAAGAAGAGACCAGCCTGCTGCAGAGTAAGGGAGAAAAAGCCAGCTAGGACAGTTGAAGGAGAGACAACAAGTGTGTTTATGGCAAATTCTATTTTTTGTTGTTTTTTTTAAATTGGTAAGTGGGAAAGCCACCTAATCACAGATCGTTATTTCTGTCTAGTAAGCGCTCAAGTAAGAGCAAGGAATGTTTTGTTTATTATTATTTTAAGCCTGTTTTCTTATCAAATAAAAAGGAAAACCGAACTGAATGTGTCCAGGACTTTGATTACCCTAGAAGGCTTACTGTAAGATCTGTGACAAAATCCTACCTGTAAAAGAGGTGGTTTGTTACAATATATATATAAAGAATATAAAGTTAGTTGCACTCACGGTCTTCCATAAAATCTTTTTTTATTAATCATATTAAAAAGGATCAACGTTTCAGCCCTTCAATCTTAACTACACTCACACAACCCATGTGCCTAAGGCCTTATACCTTCTTTAAGCCCTAAAGTCATCCTAGACTTAACCCCTTAAGGACTGGACTGTTTTTGCGATGTTGTACATTTGCGACCAGGCATATTTTTACACTTTTGTGGTGTTTGTGTTTGGCTGTAATTTTCCGCTTTCTCATTTACTGTTCCCATACAAATTATATATTGTTTTTTCAGGACAAAAGGGGCTTTCTTTACATACCATTATTTATATAAACTCATGTATTTTAATTTAAAAAAAATAAAAAAATATGATGAAAAATTGAAAAAAATACATGTTTTTTTACTTTTACTTGAAAAATCTTTTACTCATCTACAAAAGCGAATGAAAAAAACTGCTAAATAGATTCAACACTGGCCAAAGTAAGAAAACATAGAAAACACTGGCCAAAGTAAGCATTCATATTTGTTTGTGTGTGAAAAAAGTAAAAAAAACTAAATTGAACGCTAATTTTGGCCAGTGTTTGTGACCAAGTGGTTACTAAAAAAGACTGGACATAGCCCATTTGCAATACCCTGGGTTGTCTTCTTTTGCAAATGGTATGCCATCATGGGGGTAATTCTCATTCCTGGGCTACCATATGCTCTCAAAGGCAACGTAACCAACCTGGCCATTTTCAATGTCAAAAATATTTGACCCATATATACGACCTTGTAACTTTCAAAAATGCTATAAAACCTGTACATGGGGGGTACTGTTTTACTCGGGAGACATCGCTGAACACAAATATTAGTGTTTAAAAACTGGAAAACGTATCACAACAATTATATCATCAGTAAAAGTGCTGTTTGTGTGTGAAAAATGCAAAAAAAGTCACTTTTACTGACAATATCATCGCTGTGATATGTTTTACTGTTTTGAATCACTAATATTTGTGTTCAGCGAAGTCTCCCGAGTAAAACAGTACCCCCCATGTACAGGTTTTAGGGTGTCGTAGAACGTTACAGGGTAAAATACAGTGCTAGCAAATTTAATTCTCTGGACATTTCGGCCTGGGTTGGCAGGCAGGTCCCTCAAATTGCAATCAATAAAATTACTTAATTATGTAAAATATTACATAAATACGCACGTAGAATTTAAATATATATGCATATTTATATATTTGAAGTCTACGTGTATATTTATATAATTATTTATGTAATTTTGTATATGGACATATGTATATTTCGTATAATTTTTATTTATTTATATATATATATAGATATATATACAAATTCATTCTAAGTGTATTTTGATATAAATATATATATATTAATTTTAAAATACAGTTAGAATAAAATTTCATATAGATATATAATTTTTTTACAAATTTTTATTATTATTTTAAAAAAATTATTTAATTTAAATTACTTATCATTTATATTTTATAATAATATATATATATATACAATATATATAGTTATTATATATATTATATATATACGTGTGTAATTAAATTATAAGTGTATTTTTATATTAATATAAGTACATATTAATATAAAAATACACTTAGTATGGCATTATATATTTGATACACATATATAATTATTATTATTTTTTTTATTAACACTAACTTTATTTTTTTTACTGATTTTACAACTGCAGGGAGACTGCCTGTCAGCACAGGCAGTCCCCCTGCAGGCAGACACATGGACCCCTATTGTGACCATGTGATCGCTGTGTTAAGCGATCACATGGCCACAGGGGTCCTAATTCAGTGTGGGGAGACTGTTTGGGCTGCAGGCAGTCTCCCCACAACTGGAGCAACGCTGATCGCCGCCGGGGGAACGACGGCAATCAGGTAAGTAACTCAGACCATTAGGACGGTTCAGGACCGTCATCGGTCGGCAAGGCAAAAATGCAGATGACAGTCCTGAACCGTCCTCGGTCGTGAAGGGGTTAAACAAGGACTATTGGACTTCACATTCTATTTTTCATATTACTGATTTTTTTTTTATGTCAAACAAACTTACCCCATTCATGCAATTAAAAGACACATTTAATTTAACAGACTCTGACAGCCCCACATAAAAGAAAGTGAATTGCTCAAAATGAAATGTGCCCTTTCAGAAAACAATTTATATCAATGTTCACCTGAATGATCAAATTTAGAAAAAATATATAATTCAGATCCCAGCAAAAAGAGAACCATTTCAATTTGCTATTCAGATTTAATAGAAAATAACCAAAAATGTGATTCAATATTTGCTTGGGAAAAAGATTTTAAAAAATAATTGGATATTACAGACTGGTTTGCATGTGCGTCGGTATTGAGGGGCATTACACAGTGTGTGGTGCATTTAGATTCCCACTACAAAATCATTCATCATTGGTATCTCACTCCCTCTAGATTACATACATTTAAATTACCTAATTTGGATAAATGTTGGAGGGGGTGTGGACAAGTAGGCTCATTGTGTCACATATGGTGGACGTGTCCCAAGGTGGGCTCACAAATCAGTCCACAAATTAATATATACAGTCACAGATTCAATCCCACAGTTGACCCCTGAAATTTGTCTAAATAAAAGAATTCCAAATCACCTTCCAAAACGCCGGATGTTAAAAGAGGTTTTTCACTCCATTCTAGATAATAAACATCACAAATTAATCTACTGCCCATACTCAGAAAATAATATTATATTAAGATAAGAATGGAATGAATGGAAAAAAAAATATCAGAAGCAAAAACAACTTAGTAATATGATACCCATTTAACCAAACTATGTAAACTGTTAATATTTCAACAACTTTCTGTCATTTTGTAAATAGGATATATTAAATAACTAAAAATTTTATTTTTAAGGAGGATTTTACATATTTGTACAACATTATTTTATTAAGTTTCTTTTTATTATTTCCCCCAATTTTCATTTTTTTTAAATTTAATTTATTTTTTAATTTTGAATTTGCTTTAATTTTTTTATTTTCATTTTATAGTTCGTAACTTTGTAGACTCGTTGTTGTTAAAACTCATGTATTATCAATGTGTATTGTCAATATGATTATTATTACATTATATGTATCTATATATTTGAAAAACTCAATAAAAATATTTGAAACAAAGAAGCCCTTATACAAGCCACATGGAAATTGCCTTCTATGCCAGAAATCTACATAGGTCTCTCGCATTTTCTGACGTATCTACAGGCACCATGGCAAAGCAAAATGCTTTTGTCAAAGTCACTATGTCCTTAGAAAAAATTGCATCTCATACAGGTGAGGCAACCCTACCTATCTCTTGGCGTGGAAGAATGGAGCCATGATGTATCTCACTTCACCACAATCTGCATGATCCAGCATAAACAGCCTGATTATGATGTCGGGCAATATACAGATATTGCCAACATTGCGTACACCATATAGAAGCTTACAGCTCTCAGGGTGCTGAGCAGCAAATATTATGACGCGCATATGACGCGGGTCATATGTCCCTGCTTAAAAAGCCGCGATTATACTAAATACACCTCTTTATTATAATATAAAGATATTTTATCACTCTTTATTATATAAAGAATCATAATATATATATACTATTTCCACATTTGTATTTT